AGATTCTGCAGAAAAATGGACAGTTAGGGAAGAGAGGCTACGATTATTCCGAGCTTGCGGTTCGTTTTTACAGCTCTTGATAATCGTAACTATAAGTAGTAATTTAAAATAACTATAAAAACTATAATATAGTTTTATATAATATATAAAACTATAAAAACTATAATAAAACTAAAATATAATATAATAAAACTATAATATAAAATAACTATAAAAACGAGGTGCACGGCTCTGATAGTCGCATTTCCTCTTCTCAAATTGTCCATTTTTTCGTGCATTAAGCGCGTCATTTAGGGTACTGTACATTACTCGAGGCGTTAATACGTTCCAAACGGCGAGCAATAGATGATATTTTCACCGAAAAATCTTCTACCAATATCATATATTTAGCTCTTATTTTCTTACTCGATATCGCAGCGAGTCGAGAAAGGTTTTCGCACGTCTTCCAGAACGGTGTGACATTTTTCATAATTGGGTCAAGCTGTCGGAATTTCTTTGGAACGTTTGGAAGCACCGGTTCGCCGAGCAGCGGTCGAGAAATCGTTTTCGAAGATTGCGGAGTAGTCTCCGGTGCTCGGGGGAATAAAATGATTTACCATTTACCGCGGGGCTGATCACGATACGTCGGCTACGTGACGTATTTCTAGATAGAGCTCCGCGGCCGACGATGGAAAAACGTAACAGTTTCGAGGCGACAGCGGCGACGCAGCCGAGGAAATCGAGTGTCGCCGAGGGTCGAACCGATCGTGGACAACGTCACAATTTCGGCGATATTCGTATCCACTGAAATTGAGTGCGCGAAAGCTCGCTCTTTCGCGCTTCTTTTACGCGGCGATCGCGATAAATGAACGATATCGGGGCGGCGGCGTCGTATTTTTCACGGCTCCGCAGAAACGCGCGGTTTTACCTCGATCCTGCGAACTCGCTGAGAATAGACGGACGTGTTCGGATGATGGAACAGTTATTTAGTTACAGCGTTCGATCGATTTTTCCACTAATTTGTACGATGAATCTGTAGCTGTATATCTTCTAGAAATAATTACTGTGCGTTGATTTACGAGAATGACAAAATTCAATTTATTCAGGCTCTCCGTGACTTTTATTGATTAAATAATGTTTTTCATGTGAACGGAGTAGAGCCTTCGTTGCAGAGAATGTTGTGATAGCGAGCACACGATGCGAAGATAGAAAGACAGAAATGTAATTGTAACGAGATAACAATAAACGCGGGGATAGAATTGGAGGATTAGTGCTGATATGAGAATTAGATAACGAAGATAGTAGCAGTACGAGTGACGTTAACAATAATATTAGCAATAAGCGGAGTGTGTAATAATGGCATTAATGGGAATAGTAATAATAATTCGTAGTGGTAACAATAGTAACGTTAAGAGCGATAATTAAATATGGTTTGGAACGATAACGATGGCAGAGTGTTTTGTTACAATGGAAACTTGAATAAAGGATTTTAGTCAATCGTCTTTATAAGTAATAATCTCCATAATTTTATCGATTTAAACAAAAATGTAAGACCAATCGTTTAATTCGGTTTAATGTTAAATTGAATTATTCACGGTGCGAAATGAATTTGAATAAAGAATTCTGGTGTCGGAGGTTCGAAAATAATCGCGATTCTATATATTATATATATTATATTATATATATTATATTCTGTTATATATATTATATATATTATTACTTATATATATTATTATTATTATATATATATATTATTACACAGTGATGCAAAGGAGCCTTGCATAACCTTGACATAACCTTGACAATTAGTAACTATAAAAACGATCCGCAAGGCTCGAATAATCGTATCTCCTCTCTCCAAATTGTCCACTTTTGTCGAAGCGTCAATTAGAGAAACATTACTGTACCAAGTTTGAATTAGGCTTCGAAAAAGGTGGAATGAAAAAATAACAGCATCGGATGCTGTTCGACGGTCCTCCGGAGCTAAGCGTCTCGAGTGGCAGGGATGATCTGCGAAGGGATCCGCGAGAGCAGAACGAGCATCGAAATCATCTTGAAGAGCGATTAAACGCTCGGCTTAATTGCCGGAAGGCCATCAACGTTACAAAGTTTCTGGCCGATCCTCCATTATTCGATCCTCCGCCTTCCAAGGTGTTCGAAACCGTTCGACTCGTTTTCTCCGAATTCCCTCTCGCGACCGCTTCGTCTCTCTCTCTCTCTTTCTCTCGTTCGTTTTACACTTTTGACGTCCGTCTGACGTTTGGTCTCGCGAGCTTCTCGTTACTCAGCCGACAGCCTTTTGATGTTTCGATGCCGGAATCGCTTCGAGACGGTCCGCGAGACGAGGGTGTCGCGGGCTCGCACCGTGAAACGCGCCGTCGCTACAGAATCGCAAAAGTGAAACGACGAGCGGACGGACCCCGTGAAATTGCCGAAAATTTAAAAATCGTAACGAATCGATGTCTCTGAGTAAGCCGCGAGAACTTCGACGCGTCCCTTGATCTTAGCGCGCGTCGAATCGCGTCGAGAACTCGCGGCGATGTACAGTAATGTCTCTCTAATTGACGCTCAGATTGAGCACAAAACTGGACACTTTGGGAAGAGGAGATACAATTATTCGAGCCTTGCGACTCGAGCCTTGCAATCGGTAACTATAAAGTTACCGATTGTCAACAACTATAAAAAACGAGCAGCAATGCTCAACTAATCGTATCTGCTCTTCCCAAATTATCCATTTTTGCGCACAGTCCGAGCGTCAATTAAAGAGACATTACTGTATCGCGTTGTCCAAGCATGAACAGACGATTTTTCAAGAGACGTCCGCGAAGATCGACGCGTTTCCTTTGCGAAACGTCGAACAATGGCCGCGTTAATTATTGTCTAGACGTCGAAGCGTTATTCCGCGGTTACACCGTTTGACCCTTTGTACAAAGAGATCAATACATAGTTCNCAAAACTGGACACTTTGGGAAGAGGAGATACGATTATTCGAGCCTTGCGAGAAATATATCGATATTTATATAACGAGAAATATTACAACGATATACCGATTGTCAACAACTATAAAAAACGAGCAGCAAGGCTCGACTAATCGTATCTGCTCTTCCCAAATTATCCATTTTTGCGCACAGTCCGAGCGTCAATTAAAGAGACATTACTGTATCGCGTTGTCCAAGCATGAACAGACGATTTTTCAAGAGACGTCCGCGAAGATCGACGCGTTTCCTTTGCGAAACGTCGAACAATGGCCGCGTTAATTATTGTCTAGACGTCGAAGCGTTATTCCGCGGTTACACCGTTTGACCCTTTGTACAAAGAGATCAATACATAGTTCGCTGCCCTTTGACGTTTTACGGTCACTGCCACCGCTCCTCGCGCAAAGCGAACGGTTTTCGAACGAATCGCGATGAACGATCCGATATGCCTTTGCAGCTGAAAGCGTGAACAATACCACAAATAAACGGTGAAACTACGAGTAAATTCTCCCTAATCGACGCTCAGATTGTGCACAAAAGTTGACAATTTGGGAGGAGGGGACACGATTATACGAGCTTTGCGGCTCGTTTTTATAGTTGTTGACAATTCGGAATTATAAAAAGCAGTCGCAAGGCTCGAATAATTGTTATCTCCTTTTCCTAAAGTGTTCACTTTTGTGCGAAATCTGAGCGTCAATTGGAAAGACATTACTATTTTTCGTTCGTGGAGAAATCGAGGCAATCTCGACGGCGTAGGTCAGCGTCGCGTGCCATTTCCAAAAATCAGTTTATTATTACTGTACAGTAGATGTGTATAAGAGACAGGTACAGTATTATGTACAGTATTATGTACCTGTCTCTTATACACATCTACTGTACAGTAATAATACTGTACAGTAATAATACTGTACAGTAATAATACTGTACAGTAATAATACTGTACAGTAATAATACTGTACAGTAATAATACCTGTCTCTTATACACATCTAGATGTGTATAAGAGACAGGTACAGTATTATGTACAGTATTATTACTGTACAGTATTATGTACAGTATTATGTACAGTATTATTACTGTACAGTATTATTACTGTACATTATTATGTACAGTATCATGTACAGTATTATTACTGTACAGTAATGTCTCCCTAACTGACGCTCAGATTGCGCCGACAAATGGGCAATTTTGGAAGTGGAGATACGATTATTCGATGAAATCGCAAAGCTCGAATAATCGCATCTCCTCTTCGCAAATTGTCCACTTTAACGCGCAATCTCGGCGTCAATCAGAGAGACATTACAATACTTGGAAATATATTAGAACTGTCTCTCGTTGCGCTGTGTACACGTCGCCTCGTGTCGAAGTTCACCGTTCCGCGCAAGATTACCGGTTCAGAGGTCGCTTGTCGCACCGACAAAGAAACGACGGATAAGCAAGGACCCTGAAAAATAAACTCAGAAATAAACTTATCGAAAAAGAACTGTATCCGAACGATGACNTATTACTGTACAGTAATGTCTCCCTAACTGACGCTCAGATTGCGCCGACAAATGGGCAATTTTGGAAGTGGAGATACGATTATTCGATGAAATCGCAAAGCTCGAATAATCGCATCTCCTCTTCGCAAATTGTCCACTTTAACGCGCAATCTCGGCGTCAATCAGAGAGACATTACAATACTTGGAAATATATTAGAACTGTCTCTCGTTGCGCTGTGTACACGTCGCCTCGTGTCGAAGTTCACCGTTCCGCGCAAGATTACCGGTTCAGAGGTCGCTTGTCGCACCGACAAAGAAACGACGGATAAGCAAGGACCCTGAAAAATAAACTCAGAAATAAACTTATCGAAAAAGAACTGTATCCGAACGATGACAAACCGCATCGATAATCTTGCGAAGAATCGCGCGAGAATGGAATCTCGTCGAATATCCGGCGCCATAAGAGGTCAACACGATGATCGCGTCGACCAATAAAATGAAACCGCGGATACTTCGGACACTTCCGCGATGCTCCGCGAAGCGGAAGCAAAATAAGAACGCTTGTCGTACGGTTCGCAACAAGTTTTATTACTCTTCTTAGCATAATACAATAGAGCTGGACGCGCGTTCCGTAATTCCTAGAATCTAGTTGTTAGTGTTAGCCGCCGGTTCGGAAGAACGCTGCGGTTTCCGGCGTTGCGGTTTGTTGTTGTTCGTGCATCTCGATCGGATCTGGACGGCTCGCGATCTACCACGAGCCGTCGAGACGTCGAGGCGCAGTCGTCGTCGCTTTTAAGTTTTAGGTGGGCGGTCCGGTCGTGTAGATCGAGGCGAGAGGGTCCCCCCTTCGGAGATCCTTTTCGGACCCTCTGAGACCCTTTTCGGATTGCTTAGACGACGTAGTACGGCGACGAGTAAGCTCCGGCGTAGTAAGGGTAGCCGGTGTAGGCGGCGTAAGGGTAGCTGTAGGCAGCCGGGGCCGTGTATGCCACGGGAGCGGTGTAGGCGCTGTAAGCCAAGGGTGCGGTGTACGCCGCGCCCACCAACAAGCCCCGTTTGTTCCTGGCCGCGTTCTCAGCTTCGAATTCCGCCGGCTCAGCCTTCGCCGGTTGCTCGATCGACTCGGTGTCCAGGGGTTTCGCCATGGCGATGCCGACCAGGCCGAGGAGGACGAGAGCCTGTCGATTGGAAACACGATTAGCTTGTTTTCCCTTGCGATCGCGAGAGGAATCAAAGTCGAAGCCCCCCGATAAGAAGCTCGTGCAGCAGCGGCGAGGAAAGCAAAGAGACCGAGCACTCGAGACGCAGAACCGCGTCTGCAACGAACTCCCGAGTGCAACTACTGAACCAGTTAAAACGGGGGATCGCTTTGATTACGGACGAAAGCGTGGGCGTGCGAACAAAATGGAAAGTCGCGAAGACGAGAAGAGCGCATCGGCGCTCCAGCAGGGATCTGATCAGGTTTTTCCGGGAGAAGCGCGGACTGTACGGCGACAGGAGGGCGGCGAGAGTTTGCGGGGCTGAATGCGTTGAAGCGTGTACTCACTGCGATGCACTTCATGTTGTACGTTGGAGAGGAGGTGACAAGCACGGGAGCACGTTGAAAATCGATTGATGCTCGAAACACCGGACCAGCACTCTTTTATACCTGTGCGATCGCGTTGTCGCCGGCGTGTTACGTGCATCGACTGGTAAACTTTGCCTCGCGTAATCGCGCATAATTATTAACCTCTTGGCGTTGCTCGTCCAGGGTTGCATCGGGAACGAGCGGGCCTCGTCGCGGGCCGCGCGCTCTGTCGACGACGAACGCTGGGCAAAAGTTGAGCAACGCGTCCTTGGCCGTTGTCCAAAACGAGACTGTGCGAGAACCGTGTGGCTGCGTTTCTTCGATTTTTTTCCCTCTTTTTTTCGGCTCTCGCGATCCCGAGTTTTCCTTCCTGCTGCCGCCGTTGTCTCATCGTCCCGATTTCCGCCCCCTCTCGACGGCCCGCCCCTGAAAACGAGCAATTCGGTGCAAGGGGACATATCGATATGGGGGTTCGGGTCATCGGTGTGAAAAATTAATCACGCCGTCCGCTCGTGAAACGACCGTCGCGACAACGATCTACGGTGAAGAGAGAAAGAGAGAGAGAGAGAGAGAGTGGGAGGAGCTTCCCCATTGAAATTCTGTTTGGGCGAGTAACGCGCAACCTCGTCGCTCGTAATAATTTTCACGACGACGGTTTATCTATTCCGTCCTTGTACCCGATTGAACCTCGCTCGCGGCCACAAAGCCTAAACGGGACGGGGCCCTCTTTCGGTGGCTCCGGATGGCCCTCGAGGGCACGCTTCGCAGCCGGACCGGTGCCCGAGAGAAGAGGGCTTGGATACAGCATGCCCTAAAAATCCGGCCACGGAAACCCCAATCTTCCGCCCCTTACTTCGGAGACACTGGAATAGGGTTCGCCTCGGATCCAGCATCCCCTACGAATCTACTTCTAAAGCCTTCATTTTTTCTGTTTCTTCGTCTCGAAAATTATACTCGAATATGCTTCGTCGATATGGTTTTTTCCTGATACAGTAATGTCTCTCTAATCGACGCTCAGATTGTGCTCGAAATTTGGGAAGAGGAGATACGATTGTTCGAGCCTTGCAGCTCGTTTTTATAGTTGTTGATAATTCGTAACTATAAAAGGAGGCGCAAGACTCGAATTAATCGTGTCTCCTCTTCCAAAATTGTCCATTTTTGTGCGCAATCTAAGCGTCAATAAGAGAGCCATTACCGTACCATGGAAAACGACCACAAAATTGAGGGCAGTCGGCGTAAGCTTCTTCGTTTTATTGTCTTTAAAATAGGCCAATCGTTCTTGCGATTGGACGGCGAGTATGGCCCGCTTAATGTCCTCGATGAACATAAGCTCCTTGGATTCCTCAAGAATCGTAGGTGATCTATGTTTTATATACAAAGTTGTGCATCGTTTGTTGACTTCTGTGCTATTTTTCGTTTCGCTGGGTCAACACTGTCCTCAGGTTATTCACCGAGAATCAGCGCGATTGATAATCCTTTACAGGATATTGCAATCTGTTAACAACAATAGTGTGAAGATTAATCAGTTAAAGCGTTAATCAATTGAATTAAAATTAAATTAAATTAAAGTGAAATCAAATTAAATGATATCGAACTAAATTAAAATTAAANTATAGTTGTTGATAATTCGTAACTATAAAAGGAGGCGCAAGACTCGAATTAATCGTGTCTCCTCTTCCAAAATTGTCCATTTTTGTGCGCAATCTAAGCGTCAATAAGAGAGCCATTACCGTACCATGGAAAACGACCACAAAATTGAGGGCAGTCGGCGTAAGCTTCTTCGTTTTATTGTCTTTAAAATAGGCCAATCGTTCTTGCGATTGGACGGCGAGTATGGCCCGCTTAATGTCCTCGATGAACATAAGCTCCTTGGATTCCTCAAGAATCGTAGGTGATCTATGTTTTATATACAAAGTTGTGCATCGTTTGTTGACTTCTGTGCTATTTTTCGTTTCGCTGGGTCAACACTGTCCTCAGGTTATTCACCGAGAATCAGCGCGATTGATAATCCTTTACAGGATATTGCAATCTGTTAACAACAATAGTGTGAAGATTAATCAGTTAAAGCGTTAATCAATTGAATTAAAATTAAATTAAATTAAAGTGAAATCAAATTAAATGATATCGAACTAAATTAAAATTAAATTAAATTAAATTGAGTTAAATTAAAATTAAATTAAATTAGATTGAGTTAAATTAAAATTAAATTAAATTATATATATATATATAGATTGAGTTAAATTAAAATTAAATTAAATTAGATTGAATTAAATTAAATAAATCTCCCCATTCTTGCATCTCCGAAATTCGAAAGTATTCTCGGCAGAGGCGACTCGGTCGCCCCCTCGCGCCCCCCGCGCATTCCAGACTCGGTTTTCGATTCCCCGGGCGTGTTCTTCCCTCCATTGTGTCCGTGTTCTTTCGCCGCGATATCACGAAGCGACCATAAATTCGGAAACGTCTCGGTGTTCGGGGAACTCGGACGATCCGGGACCGGCATACAGAGCAAGCTGAAACCAATATGTCCGCAGATTACCGACTTTGCCAAGCAAATAAGACCGGTAATCCTTTCGGGACGTCGTCGTGAGACCGGGCGCGCCGGCCCGTTTACTCAGAAACTTTTCCTGCCAACTACCCCATCGAGGTAAGAAGGTTCGGGGAAGCATTTTCCCGGCGGAAATGCCGCGCGACGCGTCGAACTTACCGCGAAAGGAAAGGGAAAACGGGGATCGAGCGCGCGCGCGAGAGACAGAGAGGCCGGGAAAAAGAAAGTGGTTTATAGACGTAAAGAAAAGAGGGAGTTCCCGGCATTGTGCGCACCAATTCACCACGCTAATACACGAGGCGAACGTTCCAAAGACCGGCGGAACAACGCTGGCACTCGACGCTAGACAGCCACCTTGCGCGAGCTGCTGCACGGGGTGCAGCGCGCCTAATTACTCCAGCTGAGAAGTCCTTTTGCTCGCGTTCGACGACGCAGCCGAATCGCCGAAAACTCTTCCGCGGAATTCCTCCTTTCGTCTCGAAACCCCGGCACGCTCGAATTCGTACGGAATTCTGCGCGCTCTTTCTCCGGATCTTCTCATCTCCGAGCTATCATCCGTCGCACAAAAGATTCTACGATGGTACAATACCTCGATTATCCGGGTCTATGATATCTACATACTTTATTGCGCGAATGCGAGCCGACAATTCGATGCGAGACGATCCGCGTGCAACGAGATTTATTGCGCGAATTGGTAGAAATTTTGTCTAGCAGAATTGTTATCTTTATTTTTCTTTTTAAAGTGTAGTAAATAAAAATTGACTGCAATATTTTGGACAACAGAGGAAACAAATGAAGATGCACTTCTTCTTTCAGTGGTTCCAATTAATTGATGACAGTGTAACGAGATTCTCATATTCTCCTTTCTACACTGTTCTGTAGTTTGCATATCCGTGTTTCACGTCTGCCATAAATGCATAAAACCTAAATGCGATCCAGGCTTCCACGGCTCTAATACTCTATTTTTTCAGTCCCAGTATCTGCATTTCACTAGAAATGTAGTTAAACCCCTTCGGCAGAACAGTAATTAAAACCCTTCGGCTTATTTATCGATATTTCAAATTATTTGTAAATATCCATCGTAAATTCCTAATTATTATTTATAAATTATATATAAATATAATATATATGTATTATTATTTATATATGGTATATATATATATAGTATTTATATATATATTATTATATATATTATTATTATATATATTATATATATATATAAATATTTATAGTATTTATATATAGTAATACTGTTATAATACTGTAGCAAACATTAAGAGCGAGAACAATATGGTAGACGGGATAAATAAATACGAATATCAAATATCTGGCGAAATTATTTATGAAATTTATTTTTATCTTTCAATATCTTTTGAAAATCACTCCTCTCTATTTTGATAGGACTGGACGGGCGTTTTAGGATAAAAAGTATTTCAGTCTCTGCACGGTAAACTGGTCCCTTTGATGCTTGAACAGAATCCAGTCGTTTAGACCAATTTTAAAAAAGTGATCGCATTTAAATAGGCGATCGAATAATTTCCTCCAGGGGTTGTCCGTAAAGTATGCGAATAAAGTTATTATTATTAAAAGAGTCGCAGTCTGGTAATAAGCTAAATTCGCAATTAATTATCTTTTCTCATGATCGCTTAACATATTCTTACGTCGATAGCCCGCCGCCTACAATTAAAAAAAAAACACAGGTCGCCCGTAGCGATCAGAATTTTGCCCCACCCCCTGACACGGAGCGGCGGATTCCGGGCAGATTCTGGGCCCGCGCGGACCGCCGCGAAATCCGCCCACGCTTTCACAGATCGTTCAAGTGTTCCCGACCGCGGTTGCGTAACGAGACGTAACGAAAATGATGTACGGAAATATATAATCGACGCCAATTCTATTTCCGTTGCCCGTGGTCCGCGACGTCGCGCGCGACCTCCGAACGGAACCCGAAAACCGAAGGTGCAACGAACGCGTATCGCGGGGGAGGTGGCGAGGGGAGCGACGAAATTCGAGACGACTTCCTCGGATGCTATCGCGGAGGACAAATGTCTTGTCATTAGGGGGTTAACGAGGAAAAGATGGCGCGGGACCATCGGGTGCGTCGAGCACGGGACGAGAAAAGGGGCGGAATATCGCGTGCCTCGTCAGCGAAAGCTCTCGATACTTAATTGAAACTGCCGAGCAAGCGAGGCGTTTGCCTACGCGCTCGACTAAGCTCCGCTCCGGCCACGGACTTCCGCTTTTCCGCTTTACGAATTTGCACGGGTCGCTTAACAGACGGACGGCACGATCTTACGAAACCTATCTGGAGTTCGGAAAATACAGGAATGTCTCTCTAATTGACGCTCGGATTGCGCACGAAAATGGACAGTTTTGGAACAGGAGATACGATTGTTCGAGCCTTGCGGCTCGTATTTTTATGGTTATCGATTGTCAACAACTATAAAAACGAACTGCAAGGCTTGAATTAATCTCCTCTTCCCAAATTGTCCATTTTTAGGCAAAACCTGCGTCAGTTAGGGAGACATTGC